TGGAGTGCTTACGGACCACTCCCGACCATTTGCAAACCTCTTTGGCTGACCGCTGAGGCTCTGGAATGCTTACGGACCACTCCGGACCACTTGCATACATCTCTGGCTGACCTCTAGACTCTAGGCTCTGGCATGCTTAGCAAACATCTCTGGCTGACCGCAGAGGCTCTGGAAGGCTTACGGACCACTCCCGACCATTTGGAAACATCTCTGGCTGACCTCTAGACTCTTGGCTCTGGCATGCCTACGAGCCACTCCTGACCATTTGCAAACATGTCTGGCTGTTCGCGGAGGCCCTGGAGTGCTTACGGACCATTCCCGACCATTTGCAAACATCTCTGGCTGATCTCTAAACTCTAGGCTCTGGCATGCTTACGAGCCACTCCTGACCACTCCCACAAGCTCATGCATCAGCAGTTCAGACAGACATAGCAGGCAGGCGATGCCAGGCTGCTTGCATCCATCTGTATTCTGTTAGTCTGGCGGGGCGAGCCCCTACCCCTAGATTCTCTCATGGGACTGTTATGTTGGATCGTAAAAATGCTCCCGCGCGTCGCTGCTGCCCTGGGCCTTCAGATAAGAGGTAGAGGTAGTAAAATGGAAGCCCACGCTGTCCCAGACCAGACTTTCTCCCGACCGACAGCCCGAACATAATCCCTTTCAGAACGTCCTAAACTTCCCCCAAATCTAAAACTTGCGCATGAGTGTCATGCTACTTAACCCGAATTCGCCCAGATATAGGTCCGACTACTTGAACATAATCCGCCTGAAGAGCCCTAAACTTCCCCAAAATCCTGTTCGTATCCACCACTGTTACGCTATTTACCCCTAATTCGTCCATATCTTGGTCCGACCACTCGAACATGATCCCCTTTAAATGCCCTGAACTTCCCCCAAATCTTGCTCTTATGCATACATATTAGGCTATTCATCCCTGATTCATGTATATTTCTCGAAACATTCACCACTTCGAACCACTTCTGCGGCATCCGGAGGCCTGAGCAGCAAAACATCTTCTGCTGACCGCTAAGCCGCTGGAATGCTTAGCCTATATACTACCATGATCTTACCTTATTTTGCATGCCCAATGCGACTCTAGTTATGTTAAGAACAACTTGAGCAGTCCAGTGGCTAAGCAAAATATATGATGTCCATGGTTTACTCACCCAAATGCGTAACAAATTCCTCAAGCTCCACAAGCCAAAAAGATCCTCAACAGAGCAGCCTCCCGCCTTTTGCGCTGACAAGCAGCATTTGGGGCATGGAGCCGAGTCTGTTTGGGCGGGAGTTTTTGCATCACATTCTAGAGGCAAAACATGGTAAGTAAAACTCGAGGGGACGTCTGTTGCGTTTCGAGTTCACTTAAGCATTAAAGACAACAGGCTGGCAAACTCCCTTGAGGAATGCTCGTTTCAGCAGCTCCGCAGTCGACCCAAAACGGAGCACACCGAGCACAGTCAGCAGACCCCGGGATGCCCCCCGAAGCCTGGCCATGCCACGAACGGATTTCTGTCTGAAAAAACTAACAGGAGGCCCGACACAGAGTGCAGATTGACAGGTGCACTAAAGCCTGAGACAAAACCTTCAAATGGCTGTGTAGATGGCCAGGCGGCTCCTGCTGCGCCTGCTTCAAGTCACGTAGCGCTTCAGACAGCTGCTGGCCAACATGCTCTGGCAGTCCTTAGGCTGAACAACAGCGTTTATCCACTTACAAATGAATCTGATCCTAGCCCCAGCTCTGCACCGCGCTCCTTCAGCAAAGTGTCGCTCAGAAGTGTCGGGACCGGAATCCAGACTGGACGATCCAGCTTTCAAAAGCTTCTCCAGCATAGAAAGCAGTGTAGAAGTGCGCGTTGTCAGCCACTTCTGCCCAATAGCTTGCGCGATCTTGAGGGTGGCTTGCGAACGACCTTGTTCGCCCGCTCGTCTGGACATTCGCTGGAGAGCCTCTTCATCTTGAAGCCATCCAACAACTGTTCGTGCAATAACCTGAGCATCTGTGGAGAAATCCCCAAATCCACCTTCCAGCACAAATCTGACATTTCCCTGCTCCTGACCAGGCAAATACGAGCTGAGCATGACTGGCAACTCTCTCGTGCAAGCCTCAGCTATAGTACCGGGACCAGCCTTTGTAACAATAACATCTGAAGCAGCCATCCATTGGTCCATATCTTTCACAAACCCGAGAACGTGCGCAGAAACTGCCTCAGGCCAACGCACAGCCTGCAACTGCTTCCTCACTTTCTCGTTCTTGCCACAAATAACAACAAGCTGAGCACCTTTTTCTCCATTTCCCAAAGCTTGGAGCCTTTTCCCAACGGCTTCGGCCACGTGGAAAAGCCGGCCAACCCCATCACCGCCACCAACGACAAGTACTGTTTTTCTCTGCTGGAGGCCAAGTGCCTGACGGACCTCTTCTTTCGTCTGCGGCTCAGCATTCCAGAAAACACGTCGGAGCGGCAAGCCGTACTCCTCGATGACTGCTTCACGCACGTGACATCTTAGCGCAATGTCCTTGACAGCATCTGAGGGTACAAAGACACGATCTGCTTCAGGATGAAACCACATGGGATGAGCTGATCCAAGATCAGTCACAACAGTTACGAACGGAATGCGGCTTTTACTTCCCTGCCGTCGGGCCAACTTTTTTAGAGCCTTGATGACAATGTGCTGTGTGCCAGGATGCACGGAGATGATTAGGTCAGGACTGTCATCCTGGATAGCTTTCATGAACACACGCTTGCACAGCACGTTTGCAAACTTCTGCATGATCCACCTGCTCACTGGAAATTTACTGCTGTACCACAGCATGCGCCATGACCAGGTATGCTTTGCCATCCACATATATTGCTTCACAACGGTGTTAAAAGGCCAAGGGCATGATTCCGTCCATACGTCGCGTATTGTGATGTGTACAGGGTATAGCTCCTGCAGCGCATCCGCAAGCGCCATGGCAGATGCACGATGTCCACCTCCCGTGTCCGAGATCATGATCATCACACGCTTCTGCCTCAATACGTCCGGATCCTCCCCAGTAAGTCTGAAGGCGTCCTCGGGCCCCTCGAACAAGTGATCCCAGAACTCCGCCTGGCGCTCTTCCCGCTCCCACTGCTTCTGTCTCCGACTGTTTTCTGCGTTCTCATCCTTTGAGCTCTTGGTGGCATTACCGGCAAGTAAGCGAGTCTTGCAGCATTTTCGTGTCCGGTATCTGACATGAAGCTGTCTCAAAGCAACAGCGATGGCGAAAACGCTTGTCGACCGTATCTCCGGGCCTGCAAAGGCTGGTCGTCTGCTTGCAACTGCTCTGTACCGAGTGAGAGGGCAAGAAGGTATTCTGTGCCTCTGATCCTTCACGCCCAACATGCCCGGGAGCAGACTTGACATTGGTGCTCACTTCTGATTCATTACTGGTACATGCATGGCAGCATCGGACGGCTTGCGCAAATTTGATCTAACACACAGTGCCTAGTGTATGCCTGTCACAAGGAAAGTCATCTGCAGTGATGCAGTTGCCGCAGTTTGATTGACACATTGATTGCAACTTCCTGATGACAGCGTTTGCAGCCGATAGGTGCGATCTTCTGCGCATGATGACACGGATGATTCCTTCTATGGTACCCACAAGCACATGCTTAGGATTCTTCTCCATTCAGCATATACATCTGGCACGGCAATCCTTGTTTGGAGCAAATAATTGCGCTGTGACCGGTTGTGACATTTGTCCGAGACGCCTGCAACCCTTGCTTTCTCAGTTGTCTCATGGCGTAACGACAGCACGGTTCCAAGTAAGTGTACTTTGACAAGGCGTGAGCTGCTTCATGAGGGGTCCTCCAGATTGATACCTGATGTTGGGATCCAAATCTATGCAACTGTTTGCTTTCTGCTGTTCGGTTTGTAGTCACGCATGCAAGTCTTCTTAAAGTCCATACGGGCTCTTAGACCTTCGTTGTCGGTCCGGTATGTTTTCGAGCCTGCGCTGTATTTGTGGTACTTGCGCACCTCCGTTTCGTTGTCAGGCTTCACTTGGCTCCAGATGCTTCTTGCATGTGCCGCTCGCATTCTGACATCATGCAAAATCTTCCCATCACGCTTCAACTTCAACAGACCACCCCTCGTCCGTACATTTTTGCAATGAGTCGTTCAGCTGGCGAAAGTATCCGTGAGTTGAAGGAGCTTCGCTCCACCACTAAAATTTCAAGGTCAGGTTTTCGCCACGACGCAAGGTTCAGTGTGGAAGCCGGCCAGGAACTGAATGACCTGCAGAGATGCAATATCTCTCTGGAAGCAAGGAGACCATGCAACATACCGATCCATACCGATACCACATCTGGTGAGGCTGTCCAACCAAGGCCGCAGCCGAATGGTCTCTTCGCCCACGTTTGCGTCTCGTGTCCGTCCAGCTGTAGCTTCCAACACCAAAGCAGCAAAATGTATCACACTCACCCCTTGCTAGCGGTATGCTTCCTAGATTTTGCTGGAAGCTCTGGTGTTGGAACTCTCTGCAGGCAGACAAACCACCAGTGCGCAGCCTGAGTAAAATGCAACCTTGCGTCACAAGGCTTGGATCCACTTTGAAGGAAACGGGTGTGCTTTCCACCGCAAGGACCTGCACGTTTGACAGGTGCAAATTCGTCTTGTCTTCTTGACACTTGACATGCTTGAGAAGTTTAAACAGTCCTCATGTCCTGAAAATGAAACAAACCACCGGTGAGCTTCTGGAACCCATTGGTTCTGGCCATTTTGTCAAATCCAAAGGGATATTGAGGGCCAGCCCTGATCCAGAGACTTCACCTTTATCTACAGGTTCTCGTATCGACTGCCAGCCTATGGTGGCAAAATCGGGAGATACCATGCATTCGTGCATGGTTTCTAGAGGATCGCAAGCCAAAGGTGGAGCCAACAGCAAGCCAGCTCAGTTCCCGAAAATCAGATGCTGCCTCTGGCCCGTCTACTTTGAGAGCAAAGAGTATCCCAAGTCGTTCAGCTCTTCACCGTGGCTCACTTAAGACAGGCCGTCTTTGTGCCTGCGGTGGACGCACCTGCCCTTCAACACAAGATCCTAGACTCAGAGGAAAACACCGGTTACACAAAACTATACGATTGCGGAACTGCACTTGCAGGCGAGGACACCATAGGCGTCCGACATTCCCCTAGTGCCTCGCGGCCTGGGAAAAGTCTCGCGCAGCTGCGGGTGAAACATGGCTGGGGAAGATCCAAAGTACGCATCTCTCTTTCTCCTCGCCAAACCCTCAAAGGAGGTCTGCCAGACGGAGCGTGTGACCTTCGTCTCTATAAAGATTATTACTACAATCAGGGCTATAAGAGGACGTAGCCTAAAACATCAGAAACAGGTTCTGGTCTTAGGCCGCAGCCTGAGCTACCTGAAGTGCATGTATGGATGTTGCCACGCTCCTGGGCTTATACAGGTTATGCAGGCATTGCAGTCTCACAACAAAACAACCTGTGGCCGTTACGATGGAGACGCACCCAGGCAGCTCTGGCTCTGGAGTGCAGGCCTGGTAGAAACTGTTAGCTTATAGATTTTCCAACACAAGAAACTGAAGTTGTGAGTTGTCTCTTGGGCCCCTACCAAGGCAGCGCGAGCCTTCAGCCCACTTTTGGGCGTGTTGACCTTGGACTTGAAAAGTACATCTTTCGGCTGACTACTCGCTTCAAAGGCAAACTTGGGCTGCGACTGCTCGCCTGGGAACATACGCCTCGGCCGAAGCGAGGTTAAAAAAGATTGATCAAGTTGCCAAAGCCGATTTCAACTGGATTTCGTGATTTCTAAGGGTTCCACGCGCGCATCGTCGCAGCAGGCTGCCGCTGCAGCAGACCTCAGTGATCACTTCGTTCCGCTTCCAAACTCACTGCCACACTAGTAGAAGGAGATGTGGGCCACTGGCATCAACCGATTGGCTGGACCATGCGCTCCACATGCTGTCTCCTTCACAAGAGGATTGTAGAAACTAGCTTGGAATTGAAGAAATTTCCACCTTTTAGGGGCTGAGTGACCACTTAGTCATGGATTAGTCTCAGATTGAGAGGTATCGAATTTGCGGTGTTCATGGCTTTTGGTGCTTTTGCGTGATCATTACACCTCACGGCATTACTTCTCTCAGCCCCTAGTACAAGGAGTTTTGATGATTGCTCACATGGATTCATTCGGCATTTAGTCATTGCCAATGGAAGGCTTTGAATTCTCGGATCTCGGAATTCAAAGCAGTTGCAGTTCTCAGCAAAGATTTGCTCTGGGTGGCTGTTCAACAGAATGCTGAATTTAGCCTTTGCAACTACACAGGGGCATGGCAGCTTTACTGCAACGGTTCACGTTGAGAAAACCGTTGAGATCTGATGTAGCAACAACATAGCTGTATCAGACCCCGGCTCCTGTTCGCCTTCATGCGTTAGATGATTTTTGGAGGAACTTGCAGCCCGAGTGTAAGTGTTCCCCGCTTTCCCAGGCGACAGAAGATTGGCTCCTCTGCCTTCTCACCGGCCTGCGCCTTGTCATTGCATCAGATGAACTGCTCTATTCCCTAGAACTGCTCATTGTAAAACAGAGACCTTCATGCTAGCCATCATGCAGTAATGGATGTCATGCCCGAAGCAAGCATAGTCGCTGCCAGTGGCCTCATCGCTCTCAGATGCTCCCATGTTGCGCGGCCTGATTCTTGGCAAGCACAGCGGCATGTCTGGCCACACAACTTATTCTTGGAGCCATTGGCCGAGACCCCATGCACAGGTCTCGTTGAGCTGCGTCACAAGCTTCCCAGCTCACTCTGGACGCCCTATTCGACTTGGGCAGTGTCAATAAACTGAAGTTTTTCTGCCGAGAAAATTCTGGTGAAGGTTTTTGATGAGGCAGGCTTTTAAATAAAAGGCCAGGCTGTATTACCGGTGGAACACCAAAAGCAATCGGTTTCTTGCTTTTTCGAACAGGCTAGACAATCAAAGTCCAAAGGATGTAGTCCTGCAGCCCCCCTGAACCTGATTAATGCAAGATTGGGGGGTAGTGGGTCGATTATGTAAAGGATGTTTGGGCGAGTGTCAGTGGTGAGATCAAGGGCTATTAGATTTCAGGGCCTGGGCTTTCAACAAAAAAGCTAGGCTATGTTGCCTGTGGAATCTGCAAACTTATGCTACCAAAACCATCGATGTCTTCTTCAACCGCTTTTTCGAACCGGCTAGGCAATCAAATTCCAAAGGATGTAGTCCAGCAGACCCCCGAATCCTCAACTCAATAAAAGATGGGGAGGTCAATTATGTAAAGGTTTTTGGGCTGGTTTAATGAGGATGAGGCCAGTCAAATTTGTTGTAGTTCGTTATTCATTTGAATTCTTGTTGGCTGTTTTAGCAGACTGTAAATTGGTTTCAACGATTTTGATCAAGTCGTGATTGACTAATCCAGTCCTTAGGAATTCAATAGAAGCCGAAGCCGAAGGATCTACCTTCCCGTACTGATTTTATTCGTAGCCATAGGATCCCCCAAACCCCCTAATTCGTGTTGAGGACTTTTTATTACGGAGATCCCTTTTAGTTTGGGGGGAAAGGGCCACACTACTCAGGATCCAACGTTACACAAACACTGCCTTGACAAAATGGAGTTTGATCTTGAGAAACAATGATAGCAACGAAGAAACTCACCAGCACTGCTGTGTTTACAAGGCCGGTGCATTAATCATTAATCCATGCTTCTTGTCCGATGCAGAAGCCACAAAACAAGCTCTGGGCGCACAAGGGCTGCCAACAACAGGGGCAGCCATTTGGAAGTGACAGCACATGACCATGAATAGCGACCATCCAAATGGCAATGGCCTTGCAATGTGAAGCGAGAAGACAACAAACCAAAATAAATCACCTACATAGGGTAGAAGCAAGCAGCCACACCTGGATCATCACATGGAAAAGACATGAAAAGACGTAGATGCAGACAACACGACAAGAGAAGGTATACTGTGGGTGTGATTCAAGAGTTGAAGCCTGTACTGGATCGATGCTGCAGATCCAAACTTTCCTGCTCAGAATCGTTTCGCCCGCAAAAACATAGCAAGAATGTGCAGATTCAAGCTATCAATTCAGTGGATCTATTGATTGTGGCATAAGGCTCCCACAGTGAGTGGGAACGGGTTCTTGTCATGGGCGTGGATGGCACTGCAAAGTTGATGAACGTGTTCTGCACCTCGACTTGGCAGCCTCATACTGCCTGCTGTCACAATTCAATCTCAACCGAATGCACATGTTGCCAGGGCAAGCACGCTGTAGCCCATTCCATCCAACGTGTTGGGTGTCAGCATGTTTGGCCACTGCGGGAACCCCAGCGTCTCTGGCGTAGCCGGCCTCATGAGCAACGAGACACTGAAGTAGGCACTGACTTGTCGTGA